ACATGATATCTTGCCTAAACACTATTAGTACAAATATTTGTTCTCATTGAACTAAGAGAAAGTAGCTGCATATCTCTTCTACCTCTTCTATATATATATATATATATATATATATATATATATATATATATATATATATTACAAAATGGTCCTTCATTTATATTCCCCCTTTTTTGATTTGTTTTGTGCGAGATGGGTGTTCCATTGCCATTCAAATATTGTAGGTGCGTGAACTCAGCAAAATAAACCAACGTAGCCCAATAGTCCATAATAATAGTCGGTTATCAGCAGAACTGGCAATGTCGGAAGTTGTTGACTTGAGCCTTTTACAGCTCAGCATATTAATATGGCTTTACTTTTTATACCTTGTGATCGTACTTTTCTGCTGGATGGTTAAGACCAAGTTAAAGCAAGACCCATATAACTAAAATTGCTAATTTTCTGTGTATAAATATGTAATTGTTTCTTTTTCACATTCTATTGGAATTTAAAGTTTAGAATATCAATGAGAGATGGAAAATATCTGTTCCATGTTATGTCTAAGGCGTTTGATATTCAGACAGACAGTGAGGTTAAGCTCACTTGCCTCTATTACAGCGTAATAATGTCATTAAGCTTCTCTTCTGGATGATTAACAACTTAAGCTGACAGACAGACTAAAAATTAGAGGAAAAAAAAGGCTACAAGGATAACCAATATTTTGGCCCTAACCCTTCTAGGCCAGTGAAGCCTCAGGACATAAGAGAACATGTACTGTAACATCCTGTAACTCGGTAGTGTCCCAAATTTTCCAATCAAGGAGATTGTGGGGTTACAGAGGAAGGTGATTGATGATGCAGAGTGTGCCTAAGGAGAGTCATATAGAGAGAAAACTTTCTCTCAGGCTTTCACAGAGAGCAAATTGGTCAAGCAATGCCTAGATCAGTACAAAGGCAGGACCTCAGAGTTGCCTTCTATTGATTTTGGAGATAGCTATGCATGGGGGCTCAGGCTTTTCCAAGGCTCTGTCTCTTAGGCTTTGATGTCTTCACCTTTTCAAAAATATCTAGATTTTGTTTTTTTGTGCCCAGTATGTTATGGGACTGTTTGTTCTCTCTCTGGAAGAAGCAGAAGCTCTTGCAGATTTTAAGCTGGTGCAATCCTAAGGTCACACATCACTATTCCTCCTTTCTCAGGGGGATGTGAATGTTAGGACCTTTCTGACTTTACTTCCAATTTGCAATGCATTTTACTTCAATTTGTCATACACCTACAATATATAGTTATTATTGTTTTTCCCCATAATTTTATTGAGAAACAAATAACAATGAGACAGTTTCAAACCAAATGGTAGGACAGTTTCAATAATTAACACATTGCATACAGTCTTCCTAGTGGTTAATTGCTGTACAAGATGTGGACATGATATCCTATTTACAAACACCATTAGAACAAATCCCTCTATTCATTAAGAGAATGTAAGTATATATCTATCCTAACTACTTTGAATAC